CAAAGCCTAAACCCGAAAAAGTGGAAGTCTGTTGCCTCACTCCGAGTGCTGGCCTGCCGCAAAAGCTTCTCAGTGGCCTCCTCTCCCTGACCGAAGTCAACATGTGGAGCACAAGTGTCAAGGTCAAGATCTGGAATATGCAAGGACATGTCGGCGCGGTGGCTTTCAGAAGAGACAAACCTGGAAGCCATGCCTCAGGATGCAAGAGCGCATTGCGTCGCCGCCATTGTCGAAGCTCCTGCCAAGACCATGCAAAGCAAGTAGCTTCAAAACGTTTCAACGAATGTGCAGCATGGGAAGGTGGTGGTAACGTCTGCGTCTCCTTGGCCGACGGCTCGTCTGCAGCTGAGGACATGGCTGGACATCGGCTAGGACTTCATGTTTCTGCTGCTGTACCAAGCTAAGAAACAGTTGCTGGGGGTTTCCATCCGAACACTTATCGGCCTGCAATGGCTTCTAGAGGAGCCTGGTCTGCTTCGTGAATGACCAAGACTTGCCCAGGCGGCACTACGGACACTAGCGGTACGTCTTGGTACACCACGACACCATCCTGAGAAGGAGCTGGGTTGTCAAGGATTCGACCGTTGTGTCGCTGTGCAGCTGCGAGTATTCCGCTTGTTCTTGCCAAGTCTGTGGTTTGGAAGCTTGGTGACTGCAGCAACTTCTTGGTGAGAGTTGGGGTCGTTTTGGTGCGCTGGTCATGGGTCTTGGTGCGGGTTTGAAGGTTTGGTTGTGGTTTCGGGCTGCAATCATCATATATTGGTTACTAAGCATTTGGCTGTGTTGGGCGCTCTGGGCTCCGAGGGCTGACATGTTGGGGCTTGCAGGAGCGGACTTGGACGTTTAGGGCTTTAGTACGGGGCTTGTGTAGGGTTTAGGAGTTTAGGGCTTCGGGCTTTCTTTTTTTGGCTCTTCTGTATTTGGCACTGCTTAAGACGGTGCTGTTCGGAGCAGGGTTGGTATCCGCAGGAGGAGCAAAACAACTGCTCGTAAGAAGCTTGTGTCCAGGAGCTTCACCACGGATTCCCAAGGCTTGCTGCAAGTTTCACTAGACTGGACCCCTGAAGTGTTAAGTCAAGACTCTGAAACCCCAATTCACAACACCCTAAACTCTGCACCTGAACCACGAAATGGCCATGCTGCTGAGCAAGCCAATGCAGTAGCCCAGCAGTGCGCCTGCACAGGATTGCCTGATAGCTGAAGTCAAGCTCCTGTCCGGTGGTCTCAGTGGGCTTACACCCTCAACCCCGACCCGAGAAGACTGGTCTTGGGCAGGCACTGACACATACCTGTACTACGCCATAGACATGTTGTCATCGTGGCGCTGGCTTCGTGCAGGCTGCAGCTGGGCTCTGGCGACGGATGCCAATGGAAAGCTTGCCCTAAACCCTAAACCCTAAACTCCACCCCAAATTCTAAACAGAACTCAATGGCCAAGCCCCTCATCACCCTGAGCCAGTCTGTCCAGAAGCGCCGTGTAATCCGCCGTTGCACTGTGCCGCGAAGCTTTGCTGGCTTGGTTACACCTTAGCACCCGGTCGGCCTAATATAGGGGCCTTAAGAATTAGAATAGGGTTTCGGGGCCCATTATACTAGAGTTGTAATATGGAGCCCCCAAAAACAGTATTGAGAATCACCTCGGCGCCTCTTTAAAAAACAAAAGGGAGGATCTTTTGCTTGGAGCAAGGAGGCTGCTGGTAGAGCGGCTTTTGCTAGATCAGAGCTACCTAAGCCTTAAGACTTAAGACTTAAGCCAGGCCGGCTTATGCACTCTTGCTGGTGCTATTGTAAGTATGCTGTCTTCACTTCTGAGGCGGAAAGTGCTCTTTCAGAAAAGGATGCAGGAAGAATCCAGGAAGCACACAAAACTTGACGCGACACCCCAAACTGTAACTCCTGAAACCTTGCAAACCCAGACCTGAACCTCAGAGAAACCTTCTCCGTCCCCCAAACTCCTGCGCACCCAATCCCAGGCTGAAAACTGTGGACCGTAAGGGCCTACTTTGGGGGCTCCTTATTATAACTATAGTAGAATGGCCCCAAAACCCTATTCTATTTATTAAGACCCCTTAAACTGAATATAAGGGCCTTAACTACAGACAAAACAAATAGGGCCTTTTACACGCACAGGGGGCATTGGCCTGAATGCTTTTTAGCCGGAGTTTCTTGAAATTGCTCAATTCCGTTTACGGCTTAGGGTTTAGGGTTAAGGGCAGAATAGTACTACCAATTAACCAAACTCTCGCATCAAAACTTGAGAGTACCATAACCCGCGTCTTTTCGGCCCCCATAAGTTCAACATCACCGTTCTTAAAGGAGCCATACAACAATCTGGGTTCTTATGGCATGTGGGAGTTTCCGAAGATAGGGGATCCTAGTATAGGACCCTAAATAGTAGGATGCTTGTTGTAAGGACCCCAAAACAAGGTACCCCCTAATTTTCGGCAACTCCCATGTAGCAAAGCAAACCTTCAACTCTAAACCCCCCTCAAGTCCTCAAGTCCTCACATAAAGAGCACTCCACATCCGGAAAGCTGGTCAATATTAGGGACCCTTTTTGGGGACCTTATTACAATACGGCACCTAATATTTAGGGTACCCAAAAAAAGGGGACCCTAATTTTGACAACGACCCATCTGGGAGGCTGGACTTGTAGCAATCGCCTCGAAGGAGAAGGGCCAAGGGGTACCTGCTGTGACGGTTTTCAAGGGCTCCTTCAACCTAGACCCTCAAAAGTATGTAAAACAATGGCCCGAAACCTAGAAAAGGCTATTCTTCTACATACTACGTACCTTTGGGGTTCCTTCAAGTGGTGAAAGAGTTACCATAAAGGTTCGATGAGGGTTCCGTTCAGGGCTATACCATGCGGGTTGCCAGAAAGTTTCGATAATGGTCTTATACTGGTTCCTTTAAGGGCCACAGGGGATATGATAAGAGTTCGAGCATCGTTCTTGGTCCCCTTGCACCAAGGTTCTGTGTTATGCTTTAGGTTTGAGGATCTGACGTGGTGGGTTCAGGGTGTTTGGGCAAGCCCACGATCCTGGGCTTAACTAAAGAATCTGAGCTCGGAGCTTGGTCGCAACGACTTGGGCTGCTGGGTTGTACGGACTTGTAGAGGGTTCTTTTCAGCCTCCCGCCTAAGAGTTCCTGCAAGCTTGGAGTGTACGGATTGTATGGGTTCGGGGGTGCTTCAGAGTGTACGAGCTCATGGCATAGGGCACGGTTTTCTGCTTCATGCCCGGAGATTCAAAGTACGACCAGACTTTTGGGCGCTGCGGAACGTGCTATACCTTAACCTACCAAAACCTAGCTTGTAGGATCCGAATATCAGGGCTGTTCTATAGTATCTCCGGTTGGTTAACTATATGGCAGGATATAAAGAAGCCCTGAATCCTGATCCGCATACGCAGTGCTCAGGCCTCGGGCTTCGCTTCAGCACCTGCTTGGAGCGGGAAGGAGAAGGGTGATACTCTGACAGCCTACTGATTCCTGTACTGTGGACGGGTCTTACTCCTACTGCTACTGCTGCAGCCGCTGCCACTGATGATGCTGCAGCTGCCTCCGCGGCTGCTACTGCGGCTGCTGCTGCTACTGCTTGCTGCTGCTACGACCGACCGGGACTGCGACTGCGACTTCACAGTAATTGGACTACGACGGCGTCTGTGACTACGACTCCTTCTCCTCCTGGTCCTCCTGCTGCCGCTGATGCCTCTGTCACCACCACCCAACGCTGCAACACCCTGCTCGCAGCAAGTCTTGGACCACTGCTACGGCTGCTACAGCTAATACGGTCGCCGCCTACGTCACTGTCGATTCTACATCTTTTGCCTTCTCTTGTAATTTCATCGTTGATTCTGTCTTCAGAACCATTATCATTCTGAAAATCCTTTTTGCGAGGGCCAAACCAGGTCGGACCTTTATGAATACTCGCAATCGCAAACCAGTCAGGAGATCCTGGACGAACACATCAGGGCGAAGACTGCGATTTCAAGCCTAGCACCGCATGAAGGTTACCCTGGTAGTGGTAGTAGTAGTAGTAGTAGTAGTTGTTGTTGTAGTAGTAGTAGTAGTAGCAGTAGTAGTAGTAGTAGTAGTAGCAGTAGTAGTAGTAGTAGTAATAGTAGCATTCAACTCGGAATAAAATCCCACGGGCAAAAACTTATCTTGACAGCATTGACTCTGCAAGGAGACTGACACCCAGCCTGCGTGCAGATCCTGATGGCACGATCCAAGAAGCCATGCTGCTTCGTGAAGAAAGCAATCAAACAGTCCACCTGTTCGAAGGCAATGCGAGCTGGCGGTCGACACAAGCGTCGGAACGTGAGCTCCGCTCCCATCCATCGCCCAACTGGGTCGCCGACCAAGTCGCGCAACCCGCAACACGTTGCAACGGCCTGAAGAGCAAGTGGCCAACAGCCCTAGCCTAGACCTCGTTCTGAACCCGAAACCCTACACCCTGAGCGTTTAAGATGTTGGGCCATAAAGGGTCGAACTGAATAATGCCAGTATTTGCAGCCCGAACAATCACCACCCATGACAGTAGTAATAATGATCAGCCGAATGCAGCAACGATGCGTGGTAATAACAACTCTCACGACAAATATCAGCATTCTTGGAAGAAGAACCATTACAGTAACACTACTTAGTCACAACCTGCTTGCAAGAACAGGAATAGGACAAAGAGTCATGTGCAAAGAGGCACGATACAACCCTGACATGAAGATCCTGGAATACGTCGTGGGGATTCATGCTCACAAGCCTCGTTCCACTCCGGCTGTAAAACGGCTCACAGGGACTCTGAGGCTTGGGACGTTTCTCCGCATCTTCAACGATTCAGTGAAGGGGCCCCTGCTTTGCAGGATCAGCAAGCCCCTCAGTGAGATTCTCCTTGTGTGCTGGCACCAGCCAAGAAGCCATGTCCCTGAATCATTGGTGCTGTATGAGTGATGAGCTCATGCAGTTGAAACTTCTGTGCCAAGATCTTCTGATACTAAGGCTCCCTACTGGCGCGGCCCGCACTTGCCGGGACGGAGAAACCGGCTCGCGCTGAAGGGAGGAGGCGGGCGGATGGGCATGCCCTCGCCGTCGCCGACTGCCCGCGGGCCATTTCGCCCGGGATGCCGCTTGACAACTGTCGGAGCAGCCTCTTCCGCCAACTGGAGCATCTTTGGCTCGATTGCCCACTCGTAGACGCGGGCGACTACATCCGGGTAGTCCTCCTCCTCGAAAGTCTGACCTTCATGGCCAATGCCTCGATAAGCGAGCATCCCAGCCCGAGACCCAACGAAGTGCTTGAACAGACCTGCTGAGCCGGACATACAGTATCTTGCAACTTCGGCACACTCCAGGCGCAAGGTCAATCTCGCATCTCCGACCTGCGACAGCAACTGTACGTGACTGTAGGCCTCGTATCAAGTTACCAGTTCCGCTTCAGGCTTTCAAGACTCTCACGGCAGATCCTGCTGAGCATATTTACATAATATGCATCCGACAGCTGCATTGCAAGCCCAGCATGCCGAACAGCGGGAGGCTACAGGTGCCCACGTCTTCTGCCACGGCACCTTGTCCACTCGAAGGTTAGCCAGGTGGCCGCCCTCCTTGAGGAGTTTCCTGGAACCCGAAGCAGCGCAGTGCAGACAGAAACCGTAACGGTCTGCAACCCCGCCCCTAAGCCTAAAATGCATATACAGACCGACTGCAGTGGCTACAGTAATCAGTACTGACATCATGAGATGCTGCAAGACAGTCCTCGGCACGCCCCGGACGTGCTTCCAGCGAAGCAAGCCCAAGACGTCCGCATTGATATCCAACAGAAGACCTTGGGCACAGCACGGCGAGCACCGCAAAAGCGCAGACTTGCCGTCCGAAGTGCAAAGCTGCATTGTTGGAGCTATGTTGCAATAACGTTAAAGACATACTTTCCGTGTGAAGCACTGACAAACGCCTGTCCAGCTTCGGACACATCAATGCAGTATCGTGCGAAGGGGGGGGAGTAGCGAAGACACTCCTCGGACATCAGAACTGCGAACGAGCTGCCCAATTTGAAGGCCTTGACAATCTTGCCTTGGTGTATGTGTATGATGTCTTAATTCTCAAGACACATACTGCACCTGAGCAGTACTGAAGGTAGCACTAAAACAAAAGCGAGTCGCCTTCGTACATCTTCTCCTTGTTCATGGTCGCCAGGCAGACCTGCCCTTGCTTCTTGACACCTCCCGGCAGGCGCGCGGCCTCCTGTCAGAAGAGCAGCACACACGCACCACAAATCCGGCAACGTGCATCCGCAAACGCAGGAGCTGCATCTGGCATTCGGCCTCGGCCCTTTGCTGTGCCGCGTGCTCTCTGGCGGCATCCACTGCGCGCATGAATGCGCGGTTGGCCAACAGCCCATCGGAGTTCGACGGAGCGGGTTGCTGGAACCTGCGACGTGACACGCTGCCACACCATGCGGTAGCCATCTTCTCCGATCAAGTCTGCAACGTCCAAGACGTAACTTCAGGAGCCACGCTCCAAAGGCAAGAGTCGCTTGAACGCGCCGAGGTGCGAGAGGCGTGACGCTGGCATCTGCACCTGCGGGGCAGGCCCGACGCAAAAATCGCTCCGAGCAAACTGCCCAGAAAAGCGCAGCATCCCTGTAGGAAAGCTCGAGACAAGTTGCGGCAGCGTCACCGACAAACAAAAACAACCACGGCTCGGCCTCCGAGAAGCTCTTAGGGACGAAGAAGACTTCGTCATCCTGGCAGGGTGAGCGACAGAAATTACTGACGCAAGTAATGGTAATATCGGGGCCTTAATAATTAGAATGGGGTTCCTTTAAAGGGGCCTATAAGGTTTTCTACAAGGGATCTTTAAGGGTAATAATGTAGCGGAGCCCCCAAAATGGTATTGGTAATTGTTGAGGCCCCTATATTACGGTGGTGCAGGACAGGACAATACGAGAAGGCACGAGCGGGCTACAGTGAAGAAGAAGAGGAAGACTACTACATACTACATTGGTCGTCCGGATGCTGCTCTTATTCAGGCCTCTATCACAGTGCTGTCCGGCACCATCCGGAGGAACGGCACGATACCATCCGAGTTTGCTCGGACTGGTCCAGGGCCCTCAAACCTTGAAGGACGCACTTCAGGAATCTTATGCTCCTAGCACAAGTCGACATCGAGCTGCTTCACGCCAAGGAACGAAGAAGTCCGGGTCATGGGCACCATCTGCCAGGAGACAGCAAAGTAGGATTCACGAGCCTTGGGACATGGGTAAGACCAACAACGCTAATCCGCTGATACAAAACCGGTCAGCAGATCTCAACAGAAGCAAAATCAACAGGTACTATTTCTACCGCGGCTACTACGCGCTGCGTGCCACTTTTCCCTGGCTATACCTTCCAGCCGCTCATCACATGCTTCATGTACACTTGCCGGGTGTCTTGTTGTCGCTCAGGGCCCATGTCCGCGCAGGATGACGGGTATCAATCGACATGATTATGTATATCTCTCCATGATGAGGCCAAAGCTGGCAAAACGCCCGTGCGCCCACCCCCTTTCATTCCTTATACTGGCGCTGCTTCCACCATCAAGACCGCTGTTTTCTGACAACTGGTCCCGGTCATCGCTTCCTTGGCTTGCGATTCTAAGCAGTTGCTATCTGATCTGCTATCTGCTACTTTTCGTTGCAGCTTTCGCCATACTGACCTCTACCCTTTAGTTTTACTGCTGACTACTACCTGTGCTGTGTTTGTCTCTCTGCCTGAACTGCCACGACCACGAAACATACAAGCACAGCAGCCAATGCATGAATCAAAATGCATGTTTGATGTTGAAATGTAAACTTTGTCGGACAAGCATGGTGGTTCTACTGCTGATGATGATGATGATTGATGATGGTGTCGGTGATGATGACGGCAATGACCCTGATGGTACTGATGATGAAAACGATGGTCAAGAAGATGATGGTGACGACGATGCTGATGATGATGGTGACGAAGAAGGTTATGATGACGACGATGCTGATGATGATGATGCTGATGATGACTTGTGATGATGCTGATGATGTTGACGATGATGACGGTGATGATGATGATGATGATGATGACATGATGATGGCGCTGGTGGTGATTGTGGTGATTGTGGTGATGGTGATGGTGGTGGTGATGGTGGTGATGGTGGTGGTGGTGGTGGTGGGGGTGATGGTCGTGATGGTAGTGATGGTAGTGATGGTTGTGATGGTTGTGATGGTTGTGATGGTGGTGATGGTGGTGACGGTGGTGACGGTGGTGATGGTGGTGATGGTGGTGGAGAGTACCAAAGATGAATAGGAAGAGAACAACATTATATTGCGACCTCAACGGTGCCCGTCATTTTCTGAACACTGCTTGTTCTTGTTGCAAAAGCAGCTGGTTGCGCCTCCTTCACAACTTCTGCTGGCTGGTGCTAAGCAGCACAACTAGATACTACAACTACTTCGGCTCATGCCAATCTCGGCCCCAAAGAAGGCCTCGCTGTATGCCTTCGGCATCAAAGGCATCGGCTTGTCCTGCGGCAGTCGCCAGGGCATCTGCGCTTGAAACACTGGAACCCTTGCTGTCAGACCGCAAGCTAGACATATACATACATATATATATATATACATACATTAACACATCTACACATGCATATACATGTGTATGTATATAGATATATGTATATGTTTCTACATACATGCAGATAGCATACACAAGCGGACATACATAGTCGTTTATACTCAGTGGTGTATGTAGACATATATATACACATACATACATACATACATACATACATACATACATACATACATACATACATACATACATACATACATACATACATATATATATATATGTGTGTACACACATGTACATGTATATAATTGTATACATATATATATATATACATACAGGCATATAACATATGAACCTGGGCACATACATACATTTTTTAAACATACATGCATACACATATAAGTGTGGACAAATGTACATCTCTACATCTATACATTCATCATCGACACAACTGCCTATGCAAGTATATACGTACATACGGATAGGCGTTTGTGAATAAAGGCGTGTATATACCTATATACACATTTATACATGCATATAAATATATACATGGTACCCCGCCCCATGTACCCACTCCGGTCTTCGAAATCACGGCTTCAGGAGTACTTGCATCATCGGGATTGGGGTTTGCCTCCAGATCGTACCTTTCGTCCGCATGTCTTTGTACAAAACTCGCGTCGCGGAACCAGATAGAGCGCATTCAAACGGGTTCAAAACGTATTCAACTGAATATGTCTCGGATCCCAAGTTTCAACATTCAAGGCGCCCGGGACTGGGAATCTTGGATCGGAACCCAGCCTGAATCCAAATGATTCGGAAATGATTCGGACGATTCGGGACTGCTTTGTCGCCGTCCTGATCGTGGAGCAATTACTTGCGTGTTTCTGTTCTGCACCATGACCGCGATACTTTGGGAACTGACTGCTGATGTATTCAATACCGGTATAGCAACCTCACAGCAGCCCATTTCGTACCCTCATAGTAACCATGGTGAAACCTCCCAACAGACTCCCAAAGAAAGCTCTCTGATCCCCGACCCCGGGCCGCTGAGCCTCTGCGGCTGCCGAGGGTGCTTGGGATGTGGCGGGAGCCGGCCTCGGACCGTCGCATTCGTGCATGCGTGCGATATGGGCAGTTGTCAAAATTAGGGTCCCTTTTTGGGTACCTTAAATATGAAGTGCCGTATTATAATAAGGACCCCAAATTGGCATTGGACCCTAATTTTGACAACCAACCATATACAATATCTGAATATGAAGGCGTGGGCACCAACGTGCACGCGTACCTACATACGCCGTACCTACGTATCAATCGCATCATGTATAATCATGGTTGCCTAACATACTGCAGCCACGAAGCCACATGTTTCCCTTTTGCGTGCAGTTTGATTCAATACAAGTATGCCATGCTGCAAATTTCAAGTAACCTACGGCCGGCCGAGCATTGAGCAACAACATACAACATACAGGACATAGGAAGTTAACCGATCATGCTATCCGATCGACCTCACGTTGCGGCATCATGCTGCTCTGCATGGCTTCAACTGTATCCCACTTGCCAGTCAAGTGCTTGACGAGCTGCAGACCAGGAAGTCCCATTTTGGAACTAGTCCGTTGCATGGACGTCTTTGAAAGTGGCGGAGGCACTGCCTCCTTCGGATCTTCACGCGCTGCCATCTCGGGCCGCGGGACACAAGGCACTCGGAATCTGTCGACGGATGTGCAGTATCGGAATGAAGCAGCACAAGAAATCGCCTGCTGTGAAGACTCTGCTCTGACCTCACTGGCATCCTGGCTCAGCTGAAAATAGCTGCAGGTAGAGGCGCGTGTGTGGTGCGTTGCTGCCAGATGTCGGAGTTCCAAATAATCTAGGGTACAGAATGATACAGAACACGGCCAACAACTCAAGCTGAACAGTTTTGCAGCGCGGGCCGTGCTTGTCACGGCTCATCACACAATCGGCATCGGCAGCTGTCGGCACTGCTTCATCCGCTACCGCGAGCCGCTACTGGTAGACTCGGCAACAATCTGTGCGGCGTTCTCCTTGTCGAAGAGGCATCGGCCCAGTATTGCTTTCACGGCACTCCCTAACTCAAAACCCTCAATCCAAGTGCTACACGACAGGACAGCCCTGATGCTCTATGTACAGATGTGGGGGATGTTCCAGAACAACGAGCTGGATATAACACGGCAAGCCTCGGGCAGTGTTGATTGTGCGCGTGCGTGCATGCCATGTACCGATCTACATTGGTAGCTGCAAACATGATGCATGCGTGTGCATGCCGGCCTGAGTCTACACGTGACGTATTCAACTTGCCCTCCTCGGATGCTATCTCCAGCCAAGAGGCGACAAGCAATGCGCAGATCTGCTACCATGGGCGCTTGAGGGTCAAGGTCTGTGCTCTCACTAAATGGGCACTTGCCTTAGCTGAGAAGCTGCTGGCGAAGGTGTGCGGCGGGCTCTCCAACGATGTCGAATTCTGAACTGTGCCTGACAGCCTGTCCTGCAACCGAGTTCAGTTCTGGTGGTTATCCCGGACTCAACGACTCCGATGCAAATGATGGGTCAAGATTGGTGATGACACCGCTCATTAACTACACCTGCAGGTATTGGGGTTTCTCCGCATCTTCAACGATTCAGTGAAGGGGCCCCTGCTTTGCAGGATCAGCAAACCCCTGAACATTGGTGCTGTATGCGTGACGAGCTCATGCAGTTGAAACTTCTGTGCCAAGATCTTTTGATACTAAGGCTCCCTACTGGCGCGGCCCGCACTTGCCGGGACGGAGAAACCGGCTCGCGCTGAAGGGAGGAGGCGGGCGGATGGGCATGCCCTCGCCGACTGCCCGCGGGCCATTTCGCCCGGGATGCCGCTTGACAGCTGTGGGAGCAGCTTCTTCCGCCAACTGGAGCATCTTTGGCTCCATTGCCCACTCGTAGACGCGGGCGACTACATCCGGGTAGTCCTCCTCCTCGAAAGTCTGACCTTCATGGCCAATGCCTCGATAAGCGAGCATCCCAGCCCGAGACCCAACGAAGTGCTTGAACAGACCTGCTGCGCCGGACTTACAGCATCTTGCAACTTCGGCACACTCCAGGCGCAAGGTCAATCTCGCATCTCCGACCTGCGACAGCAACTGTACGTGACTGACTACTCACTGCACGGTCAAGTTGCAAGGTTCGTTTCAGGTTTTCAAGACTCTCGCGGCAGATCCTGCTGAAGGGCATCTCTGTGCGAGCAAGGGCATTGCACAGCATGCTGAACAGCGCGAGGCTACAGGTGCCCACGTCTTCTGCCACGGCACCTTGTCCACTCGAAGGTTAGCCAGGTGGCCGCCCTCCTTGAGGAGTTTCCTGGAATCCGAAGCAGCGCAGGGCAGACAGAAACCGTAACGGTCTGCAACCCCGAACAGAAGCCTAAAATGCAAATATGCACAGAGCGACTACAGCATTCTGCAAGGCAGTCCTTGGCACTCCCCGGACATGCTTCCAGCGAAGCAAGCCCAAGACATCTGCATTGATGTCCAAGAGAAGACCTTAGGCACCGCATAGCGACTTCGGCAAAAGCACACGTAGACTTGCCGCCCGAAGTGCAAAGTTGCAAAGGTGAAGCTATGTTGCAACAACCTGGAGGAATCCCTTCTTTCGTCTTTTCCATATTCCATACTTCCCGGTTTAAGTACTGACAAACGCCTGCCCAGCTTCGGTAACATCGGTACCATGCGGGGGGGGAGTAGCAAAGAGGGCGCAGAGTCGGACGTCAGAACTGCGAACGAGCTGCCTAGTTTGAAGGCCTTGACAATCTTGCCTTGGTCTGTCCATGTCTTGCGTCCCAATCACTGCTTCAAAGTGGGGTGGCACCAAAGCAAAAGCGAGTCGCCTTCGTACATCTTCTCCTTGTTGATGGTTGCGAGGCATACCTGCCCCTGCTTC